TGTCTCCATTCTCTGCCAGCGCAGCTCTGCCCCTGCCCCTGACTCACCCGGGCGTGGGCACAGCCCTCACTGCCGGCCACAGCTTCCCTCTGAAGAACCGAGCCGCTCTGCTGCGTGCAGGTGCTGTGGAACAATCAGCATTTCCATTAATTTAGCGCTGAGGGAAGAGCCCCGGGCTGGCTGGAGCTGCTGCTGGAGGCAGTGTTGGTGCCTGAGCCATGGGGTCACTGCCCTGCTGAGGACAGCGGGATTTCTGCTCTCAGAGCTGCTTACCCAGCACTGTGCTGACCCGGGGACAGCCCGAATGGAACCAGCGCTTTCTGTGCACAGCACGGCCAATTCTCTGCCTCTCTGCATCCCACCAGATGTGCTCGGCATTGAAAACAGCTTTGAATGGCTGTTCCCACTGTTGGGAGCACCTTAAACTGCACCGGAGGTGTTTTAGTTTGAACATTGGAAGAAATCCTTCACAGAAGGGGTGATTGCACACTGAAATGGGCTGCCCTGCGAGAAGGGGGAGTCACTGTCCCTGTCACTGTTTGAGGATGTGGCACTCAGCGGCTCTGGGTGACTGCACCAGAATCTCAYCTGGACTCGATGGTCCCAGAGCTCTTCTCAGCCTCATCCATTCTGTGATTCCGTGCTGTGATTGCGGCACTGGGGCCACGGGGAGCTGCAGCACAGGGCCTGTGACACGGGACATGACACCAGCGGGTCCGGATCCACTGCAAGGGGTCCCATCGTGACACAGTGACACGGCGTCACTTTACAGTGACAATGCCACCTCTGACCAGCGCAGTCTCCTGTCTTGTATGTTCAGGAGATGCTTTTGTCTAGACAGGGCTGTCTGAGTGTTATTTCCCACCTTGATAAATACTGGAAGATTTAGAGTGCCCCTGCCTCAGAGCCCCGGGGAAAAAACCACTGAGCTGTACCAGGCCGGAGGTGCCCCTGTGGCATTGCCTGTCTCTCAGCTTTTCACCCGTTGTCTCTTCTTTAAGGGCAGACATCCCTTAATGATGAACATGAAATTGTCTTTCCTTCCCACACACCATCTTCTCCCCCGCTGGGACCCGGGTGAAGCCCTTGGCGGAGCAGGGATGGGCTGGAGAGGGTGTAAGAGGAGGAGGATGATCCCAGAATGTGCAGATTGGGTACATCCAGGGGAGGAGATGGCTCTGGCACAGGGAGAGGGGCTGTCTGCAGGACTGAGCCCACTCACCCYGTCTGTGGCTGCAGAAAAGGGGAAACGGGCTCGTGGAGTGCCACAARTGAAGGAAGTTGGGAAAAGAAAAAGCTGACTTAACTCACCACATCCTGCGAGCGTGCAGCCTGCCACGGG